CCTCCTTTCTCTCAGGTAGTCCTCCTTTTTCTCACGTAATCTTCCTTTCACTTGTGTATTCGTCCTTTCTCTCGAGTAGTCCTCTCTTCTTTCAGGTAGACCTCCTTTCTCTCCTGTGGTCCTCCTTTCTCTCATGTAGTCCTCCTTTCTCTTCTCTCATCATTCCTTATCTCAGGTAGTCCTCCTTTTTCTCAGGTAGTCCTCCTTTCTCTCAGGTAGTCCTCCTTTATCTCAGGTAGTCCTCCTTTTTCTCAGGTAGTCCTCCTTTCTCTCAGGTAGTCCTCCTTTCTCACAGGTACTACTCCTGTGACATGCGTAGTCCTCCTTTGTCTCGTTTAGTTGTCCCTTCTCTCGTGCAGTCCTCATTTCTCACAGGTAGTCCTCCTTTCTCTCAGGTACTCCTCCTTTCTCTTAGGTAGTCCTCCTTTCACTAGGGAAGTCCTCCATTTACTTGTGTAGTCCTCCTTTCTCTCAGGTAGTCCGCCTTTTTCTCACGTAATCTTCCTTTCACTTGTGTATTCCTCCTTTCTCTCGTATAATCCTCTTTTCCCGTGGGTAGACCTCTTTTCTCTCCTGTGGTCCTCCTTTCTCTCAGGTAGTCCAACTTTCTCTACTGTGATACTCCTTTCACTCAGGTAGTCCTCCTTTCTCTCAGGTACTCCTCCTTTGTCTCAGGTAGTCCTCCTTTCACTCGTGTAGTCCTCCTTTCACTAGTGTTGTCCACCTTTCTCTCTTGTAGTCCTCCGTTCCTCGGGTAGTCCTCCTTTCTCTACTGTGATCCTCCTTCCACTCAGGTAGTCCTCCTTTCTATTATGCACTCCTCCTTTCTCTCAGGTAGTTCTCTTTTCACTTGTGTAGTTCTCCTTTCAGTTAAGTAGTCCTCCTTTCTCTCATGTGGTCCTCCTTTCAATCATGTGGTCCTTCTTTCTCTAGGGAAGCACTCCTTTCTTCTGGGAATTCCTCCTTTGTTTCGTGTTGTCCTCCTTTCTCTAGTGTAGTCCTCATTTCTCTCATGTAGTCCTCCTTTTGCTCAGGTAGTCTTCCTTTCACTTGTGGAGTCCTACTTTCCCTCGTGTAGTCCTCCTTTCTCTCGTGTAGTCCTCCTTTCTCTCAGGTAGTCCTCTTTTCACTTGTGCAGTCCAGTCCTCCTTTGACTTGTGTAGTCCTCCTTTCTCTCATGTAGTCCACCTATCCCTCAGGTATTCCTCATTTCTCTCGTTTAGTCCTCCTGTCTCTCGTGTAGTCCTCCTTTCTCTCGGGTAGCATTCCTTTATCTCAGGTAGCACTCCTTTCTCTCAGGTAGTCCTCCTTTCTCTCATGTAGCCGTCCTTTCTCTTGTGTAGTCCTCCTTTCTCTCCTGTAGTCCTCCTTTCTCTCAGGTAGTCCTCCCTTCTCTCGTTTAGTTCCCGTTTCACTCGTGTAGTCCTCCTTTAACTAGAGTTGTCCTCCTTTCTCTCGGGAAGTGCTCCTTTCCTCAGGTAGTCCTCCTTTCTCTCCTGTGAACCTCCTTTCACTCAGGTACTCCTCCTTTCTCTCATGTAGTCCTCCTTTACCTTGTGTAGTTCTCCTTTCACTTATGTAGTCCTCCTTTCTCTCATGTAGTCCTCCTTTCTCTAGGGTAGCACTACTTTATTCTGGGAATTCCTCCTTTCTCTCGTGTAGTCCTCCTTTCACTAGTGTAGTCCTCCTTTCACTTGTGGAGTCCTCCTTTCCCTCCTGTACGCCTCCTTTCTGAAGTGTAGTCCTCCTATCCCTCAGGTATTCCTCATTTCTCTCGTGTAGTCCTCCTATCTCTCCTGTAGTTCTCCTTTCTCTCATGTAGTCCTTACACTCAGGTAGTCCTCCCTTCTCTCGTGTAGTCCTCCTTTCACTTGTGTAGTCCTCTTTTGATTTGTGTAGTCCTCCTTTCTCTAGTGTAGTCCTCCTGTCTCTCCTGTGATCCTCCTTTCACTCAGGTAGTCCTCCTTTCTCTCAGGTACTCCTCCTTTCTCTCAGGTAGTCCTCCTTTCTCTAGTGTAGTCCTCATTTCTCTCATGTAGTCCTCCTTTCCCTCAGGTAGTCTTCCTTTCACTTGTGTAATCCTCCTTTCTCTAGTGTAGTCCTCTCTTCTCTCGGGGTGACCTCCTTTACCTCCTGTGGTCCTCCTTTCTCTCAGGTAGTCCTCCTTTCTCTCAGGTAGTCCTCCTTTTTCTCACGTAATCTTCCTTTCACTTGTGTATTCCTCCTTTCTCTCGTGTAGTCCTCTCTTCTCTCGGGTAGACCTCCTTTCCCTCCTATGGTCCTCCTTTTTCTAAGGTAGTCCTCCTTTCTCTCAGGTAGTCCTCTTTTGTCTCAGGTACTACTCCTTTGACATGTGTAGTCCTCCTTTGTCTCGTGTAGTCGTCCTTTCTCTCGTGTAGTCCTCCTTTCTCTCCGGTAGTCCTACTTTCTCTCAGGTAGTCCTCCTTTCTCTTAGGTAGTCCTCCTTTCACTAGGGAAGTCCTCCATTTACTTGTGTAGTCCTCCTTTCTCTTGGGTAGCATTCCTTTATCTCGGGTAGAACTCCTTTCTCTTATGTAGTCCTCCTTTCTTTCGGGTAGCCTTCCTTTCACTCGTGTAGCCCTCCTTTCACTCGTGTAGTCCTCCTTTCTCTTGAGTAGTACTCCTTTTCTCTCGGGTTGTCCTCCTTTCTCTCCTGTGATCCTCATTTCACTTGTGTAGTCCTCCTTTCACTTGTGTAGTCCTCCTTTCTCTCATGTGGTCCTCCTTTCTCTAGGGTAGCACTCCTTTCTCTTGTGTATTCCCCCTTTCACTCGTGTAATCCTCGTTTGTCTAGTGTAGTCCTCATTTTTCTTAAGTAGTTCTCCTTTCTCTCGGGTAGTCCTCCTTTCACTTGTGTAGTCCTCCTTTCTCTCGTGTGGTCCTCCTTTCTCTCAGGTACTCCTCCTTTATCTAGTGTAGTCTACCTTTCTCTCAGGTAGTTCTCCTTTCTCTCCTGTGGTCCTTCTTTCTCTCAGGTAGTCCTCCTTTCCCTCAGGTAGTCCTCCTTTGTCTCAGGTAGTCTTCCTTTCACTTGTGAAGTCCTCCTTTCTCTCTTGTAGTCCGCCTTTCTCTAAGGCAATACTCCTTTCTATCTTGTGGTCCTCCTTTCTCTCAGGTAGTCCTCCTTTCTCTCAGGTAGTCCTTCTTTCACTTGTGTAGACCTCTTGTCTCTCGTGTAGTCCTCCTATCTCACGGGTAGCACTCCTTTCCCTCGGGTAGCCCTCCTTTCCTTCGTGTAGTTCTCCTTTCACTCAAGTAGTCCTCCTTTCTCTCAGGTAGTCCTCCTTTGTCTCAGGTAGTCTTCCTTTTACTTGTGAAGTCGTGTAGTCCTCCTTTCTCTCGGGTAGTCCTCCTTTCTCTAGTGTAGTCCTCATTTTGCTCCTATAGTCCTCCTTTCTCTCAGGTAGTCTTCCTTTCACTTGTGTGGTCCTCCTTTCTCTCAGGTAGTCCTCCTTTCCCTCAGGTAGTCCTCCTTTCTCTCCTGTGGTCCTCTTTTCTCTCAGATAGTTCTCCTTTCTCTCTTGTAGTCCTCCTTTCTCTAAGGCAATACTCCTTTCTATCTTGTGGTCCTCCTTTCTCTAACGTAGTCCTCCTTTCCCTCAGGTAGTCCTCCTTTTCCTCAGGTAGTCCTCCTTTCTCTCCTGTGCTCCTCCTTTCTCTCAGGTAGTCCTCCTTTCCCTCAGGTAGTACTCCTTTCTCTCGTGTAGTCCTCCTTTTTCTCAGGTAGTCCTCCTTTCTCATAGGTAGTCCTCCTTTCTCTCAGGTAGTCCTCCTATCTCTCGTGTAGTCCTCCTTTCTCTCGGGTAGTCCTCCTTTCTCTAGTGTAGTCCTCATTTTGCTCCTATAGTCCTCCTTTCTCTCAGGTAGTCTTCCTTTCACTTGTGTGGTCCTCCTTTCTCTCATGTAGTCCTCCTTTCCTTCAGGTAGTCCTCCTTTCTCTCCTGTGGTCCTCCTTTCTCTCAGGTAGTCCTCCTTTCTCTCCTGTGGTCCTCCTTTCTCTCAGGTAGTCCTCCTTTCTCTCAGGTAGTCCTCTTTTGTCTCAGGTAGTCCTCCTTTCTCTCAGGTAGTCCTCCTTTCTCTCGGGTAGTCCTCCTTCCTCTCGTGTAGTCCTCCTTTCTCTCAGGTAGTCTTCATTTCTCATAGGTAGTCCTCCTTTCTCTCAGGTAGTCCTCCTTTCACTTGTGTAGTCCTCCTATCTCTCGTGTAGTCCTCCTTTCTCTCGGGTAGTCCTCCTTTCTCTCGTGTAGTCCTCCTTTCTCCCAGGTAGTCCTCCTTTCGCTAGTGTAGACCTCCTTTCACTTGTGTAGTCCTCCTTTCTCTCGTATAGTCCTCCTTTCTCTCATGTAGTCCTCCTTTGTCTCTGGTAGTCCTCCTTTCTCTCGTATAGTCCTCCTTTCTCTCAGGTTAGTCCTCTCTTCCCTCAGGTAGTCCTCCTTTCTCTCAGGTAGTCCTTCTTTCCCTCAGGTAGTCCTCCTTTCTCTCAGGTCATCCTCCTTTCACTTGTGTAGTCCTCTTTTGACTTGTGTAATCCTCCTTTCTCTCATGTAGTCCTCCTTTCTTTCTCTCGGGTATTCCTCATTTCTCTAATGTAGTCCTCATTTCTCTCATGTAGTCCTTCTTTCTCTCAGGTAGTCCTCCTTTCTCTCATGTAGTCCTCCTTTCTCTCGTGTAGACCCTCTATCTCTCAGGTAGTCCTTCTGTCTCTCGGTTAGTCCTCCTTTCTCTTGGGTAGTCCTCCTTTCTCTTGCAAAATTCCCCTTCCTCTCGCAAGATCCTCTTTTCTCTAGCAAGGTCCTCCTTTTTCTTGGGTAGTCCTCTTTTCTCTCGCGAGCTCATGTTTGCCCTGGCATGAGTTGAAGCATCACAAAGGTGCCCATTGTCTAAAAGGGTGGGGCTAATGTTGACATCTCATTCCCTTATCAAGGTTGAGCTGGAGGTGGTATTACAGGGGTAACTCCAAGTAGATAGCCTATTTAACCATGCAGGATCCCAACATAAACAAGATTTGCAGAGCAGGTGGTGAAGAAGAAGAGGATAGCCAAAATACATCAGGCACTCCAGATACGCAAGTTACCTCACAGAGTTCTGAAACCGGGAATGACCATCGTAACTCAGCTCATGATAGTCAACCACAAGATTCTGCTACACAGGCTATACAACACAACCTCAACTCAAGGAGACCTGCAGAGGCAAGAG